CAAATTATGAGAATGTTATTAATGCTCTCCAGATCACTCTCAATGCCAAAGATATTCTGAAAGAAGCTTATTGAATCCACCTCTTCAGCCTATCAAAAATGGAATACTTCTTTGTGTTTTGTAAATGGCTTGCCAGTTATGGCATATGTGACCTGAGTGATGTGTTGTAATTACTGTAATTATGCAGGCTCATTAAAATGTAAATGTCACCATGAAGAAAAAAAAAGCAGGATTTTCATATACTTTCACTTGAAGAATGGCATCCTCATAGTTGGTGCATGCCTTAATAGACTAATTATCCAAAAAGCTGATTAAAACTCTTTCTCTCTCGAGAAGGTCTTGGCTTCAAATAATAATCATATACTGTATATTATTTGTGCATTTGGATGATAAAGGTCATATTATTTATTTATTTGTTTACATCAAATTTTAATTCAAAATACAGGTTATATACATTCAGTATACTGCTTTACAAGTATGGTCTGTAAAAGGAGTGTAATCTCCATATTAGTTATGCATATGTTATATTAATCCTTAGGATGCTACCGAATTTAAAAAATGTGTGTCATAAACACAGCAAGTAGAACTAGTCTCAGAAGTTGAAAGTAGAGGTTGTGATGAGGATGTGTTTCTCCAATGCAAGTGCAAAGTGATGGTTTTGATCCCGGGATAATATGAATTAGTTCATGTGATTGACAGACGGTAGGATATATGATCTCATTGGATTGGTCTATTGATTGGCATTGAATGACTTCACATCTACTGTAGATGAAAGGTCTCAGGAGCATTAAGACATGAAGACCAAGGAGGACACTAGGAGAAGAGGAAAGGGATGAAAAGTACAAGGGAAGGAAGGAGAAGAAGAAAGAAATGAAAGAAAATTGGAAAGGGAATTTAATTGGAGGGGGAGGAGAAACAGAAGGGATGGAAAGTACAAGGGAAGGAGAATTGGAAAGGGAATTTAATTGGAGGAGAAGAAGAAGAAGAAGAAGAAGAAGAAGAAGAAGAAGAAGAAGAAGAAGAAGAAGAAGAAGAAGAAGAAGAAGAAGAAGAAGAAGAAGAAGAAGAAGAAAAAAAGAGAGAGAGAGAGAGAGAGAGAGAGAGAGAGGGGGGGGGGGGGGCTGAGGAAGAGAGGTGGGGGAGGGGGGGGGGGAGAAGGAAGGGAAGGAGGAGGAATATAATATGAGAGAGAAAGAGAGAGAGAAGGGAGAAGGGAGAGCAAAATATGGGGCACAAAAAGTATTAAAATATACAAAGATGTCAATGTTAAGTGGTAGATGGAATACTTCTAAAGTATGTACACAAGGAGTGTACTTGAAGACACTATGTCAACACCATTGTTTGTCAAAATTAAACATATGTTCCATTTATCTTTGAAGGTACTTCATATGGAAGGAAAGGAACAATTTACATTTTGATGCATGTATAGTGCGCATATGTAGGTAGCAGACTCAGTTTCTCAGAACGATCAAGCGAAAATGATCAAGGAGGATATTGCAAGTTCCACATCCATCTTGTTCTAATGGGCGATGAAGAGGGGTCTGATTGATGGTGAATTTATAATAATCCAAGTTCTCCAAGCCCAAGCAATAATTCTTTGTCAAATTCAGATCGTTTTGTAACAGAGGAATAGAAAAGTGAAATGTCATTGCGTTATGTATAGTGGAGCCGTAGTGTGATCACTAATACACTTCTTGATCAGGCTAATGAGCATGCAGAATTGGTGCTACTCAAATACACAATAAAGGGCTTGATAGATTTATGATAATCCAAGTTTTCCAAACCCAAGCAATAATTCTTTTTCAAATTCAGATTGTTTTGTTCATACAGATAGACCATGGGCCAAGCCCTGTTTTCTTGCTTAGTTTTTGAATTCCGTGGTCTCCGACTAGGAAGTACCTACAAATGTGCCAAATATCTTGGAAATGTGTAATTGAAACAAAAATGACATGTTCCCAAGTTTGAAACTTGAGCACTAATTAATAACGGCCAAAAACAAAGAAAAAGTTAAGAATTGGTTGCTATGGACTTTTCCTCCCTAGCAACCATACAAGGGAAGATATTTGTTGGAATATTTTGCACCTAACATGCTAATTGTGCATACAAATGGTGTTTGGAGAAGTGTGATGTTATGAATTGAAGTTCAATCATGTAAAAATTTAATTTGCATATTTATTAATACCTTGATTAATACATGTATTATCCTTATTATTCAAAAACATGTTGTTAAAAAGTCTCATAAAACCTGATATCAGTATGAACATAGAATCAGATGTATTCATGTATTTATCAATTTTTCCAAAGGGATGGCATTATTAGTCACATGCCCCATACCCCCTCCCCCAACCTATACCCTCCACACCCCCCCCCCCCCCCCACCAGCTCCATGAAGCGAAAACGACGTAAACATACAGTAGTTTCCAATCATAATGATCAGCAAAAGATGTTTTCTCACCAAATTTCAAACCATGCTCATTTTTATATTCACACACAGCCACCCCACCACATAGATCTTCATGTATATATAAAGGCAACCCCCCCCCCCCAACACACACACATATACACAGTAATACCCAATGATATAATGAAAGAAATTAATTTAAAATACATTATTTGTGACTTGTAAATTCAAATGTCCCTCATGTTTGCTGATATCCACTTTATCCTAGATACACAAACTCATGCATATGAACACACATGTATGCCCCCATCATATACCCCCCCCCCTCCAAATACACAAGCATAATCGCATCAGTTGTTATCTTGTTTTCTTGGATATTATCTTCCATTTTTTCTCGCTGTGTGACCTCACATGAAAAGCTATGACAAATTGATTTTATAGTATAGTTTTTAATGTTCTATTTACTATAACAAATAAAACAAAGGTTCACAGTACCATGTTTTATGTATTTCATATTGGCATTATATATGTACATGTATGTACCATAAGATTTCGTTAAAAATGTTTAGAAATCACATTCCTACAATATTAGGCTCTCTTAGCTCTGTCATATTAAAATGGTACGTCTCTGGATCTATAATTCCGTTCAATTAATCAGCCAAAGTAAGCAGGTACATGTATTGTAACTTCTTAGCTCTTACAAATTATACTCTTCTATACTCACTTTAATTCTAAAGTGTAAACTCAAAAGTGCACTCAAAATTACTTACAAACTGAGTGAGACAAGGGTTGCACATCATAACATATTCATATGTACAACAGTCAATAACGATATAGATCACAGATTTTGCACCTACACACATGTATATGGTAATTTAAAGCACCAACAAGTTTTTAACCCTCATTTTCACCTTAATAAGTGAACGTGTAAAAAATACCATGACAAGGGCTGACCAAATGAAGATTTAGATATCGAACTGTAAATGTTACTCTAAATACAGTGTACATTCAATATTATAGAAGTTCAGAAAAAAAATGATATTATAACAATTATCTGTAAAAAAAAAATACCATGACAAGGGCTGTCCAAATGAAGATTTAGATATCGAACTGTAAATGTTACTCTAAATACAGTGTACATTCAATATTATAGAAGTTTAGAAAAAAAAAGATATTATTACAATTATCTGTAAAAAAAAAAAGACCATGACAAGGGCTGTCCAAATGAAGATTTAGATATCGAACTGTAAATGCTATTCTAAATACAGTGTACATTCAATATTATAGAAGTTCAGAAAAAAAATGATATTATAACAATTATCTGTAAAAAAAAAAAAGACCATGACAAGTGCTGTCCAAATGAAGATTTAGATATCGAACTGTAAATGCTATTCTAAATACAGTGTACATTCAATATTATAGAAGTTCAGAAAAAAAATGATATTATAACAATTATCTGTAAAAAAAAAAAAGACCATGACAAGTGCTGTCCAAATGAAGATTTAGATATCGAACTGTAAATGCTATTCTAAATACAGTGTACATTCAATATTATAGAAGTTCAGAAAAAAATCATATTATTACAATATCTGTACCTAATCCTTTTAGCTTTACTTGAAGTAGGCTTACTTTTGTTGTAATACATCCTTAGAGAAAATATATTGCATAATCATTGTAGAGCATTTTATTGCCTCCACTTCAAATAGTAAAGGTAAACAAAAAGAATTGTCTTTACTGATGGAGATTACAGTGTGCTTGTATGCAAATGTTGTTGTTTTTTAAATCAATAAAATATATATAATTAAAAAATATTCAAACCCATGAATAGCAATGAGTGATCTTAACACCTGTAAGGAAGCAATGGGTAATAATATTGATTGAAGGTTGTATTGTAGAGGAAACCTACAAAGCAGGGCTTGTAATTTAGGGTTCCTGATACAAAATTGAATGAAGTATCTCAAATGTAAAAAAATAAAAACAAAAACAAAATATATGTTGGAATGACAGTACGGTGTATGAACAAGAAAAGACATTACAGTTAATTATTTACAATGTACCTTTTTACAACATATTTTCATTTACAATTATTTCCACATTATCGTAGGACAAATATTATGGATGACTGAAAGAAGTAGTACAAGCATCTATTAACAGTAAGTTACTGTGCAGTAGCTCTGTATTCAAGATGATAAGATGCATGCAAGAATAGCTGGTTGAAATAGTTTGTACCGGGGTATGTTTCAAAATCGTGTTAAGACATTGGAAATATGGTTTTAAAGAGTTTCTTATAATGAAACAACAAAAGATACATTTGTGAAGGAAGTCATATGCATATTACATTACATTAATAGTATATGATATCTCTAAAGCGCTTAGAGACATTCTGGATCTGTTGAGCGCTAGGACCTGTTTAAAAGCGGAATATTATTATTTTATATCATTACCTGCAAAACACAAAATTTGATTTTAGCAATTTCTTCAGATGGGTAGATAATCAAATGACAAGCTGTATAACGTTCAGTTAAATGTTAATAAAAGCTTAAGTTCAATACATTTTTTTCCTTTACACTGATTTGGTGTAGATATATCTAAAAAATTATCATATCACAGCCTCCAATTCCTCATCAGAATCATCATCATCATCATCATCCCCTACTCTGTTTGACATGGATGGCAAATTTGCGCAATCGATGCATGAGCACATATCGGTGCATGGCATATTATTTTGAAGACAGGAGCAACGGCCTTGTGTACACTGTGTCTTCTTGCATGAACAGTGAGAGAGCTCTAATACACTGGCAGGTGCTGGTGGCAGTGTCATCCAATCAATGACGTACGCATCATCCTCAACCTTCCATCCATGGCTCTCTGGAGATGGTGTCTCTGGTTTAGGGTCAAGACAAAGCTTGTGGACAGCAGCTTGGTAATTTGCCCTCTGTGTGTGCTTGTGGAGACTGTCCTTGTTTGTGGGTAAGCTCTTCTCTCCGCAAGTGCCGCTCTTGAACAATTTACATCTTGCATCATTAACATCTTTGCACCCCTTCTGTCCATAAAGCTCACAGGTGTATGCCTCGATGCCTTCATACAGGGTTAGAGGCACTGAAAATGATGCTCCCAGATTCTGAAATGTGGTACAGTGCTCTTTGCTAGACATCATCAATTTCAGAGCTCTCACCTTCCCAATGCCATACATGGCACTCACTGTGTCACAACCTGTGAAACAGTGCAATCCAATGAGGGCTCTACACACATCTTGGCCGAAATGGTTGAAGACATTACCGATGGCGATGGTTCGGGTCTTGTTGCCTTGGCCTGTCCGGAAATACATGTTTGCGTCGATATCTTGTGAAAAAGCCAGACAGAGGATGAACACATCAGTGTCGGGACTGTTGATAATTACATCAACACTACAACTGGCAGCATGTAGACTGTGAAGGAGGAGTCTGGTGTCTGCCTCTTCTTGGGTAGAGAATAATGCCGGTAAAGGTTGTATTTCCAGCTCTCCCTTGCTCCTGTCCATGCGAATGGCATGGCATTCTTCCCCATGTCCAACAATAACCGTGACATCATCAATTATGTCCTTTCCCGACTGGCTCCATCTCTCAAAGAGATATTGGAGGAGATTCTCCTTGTTCTCCCCAGAAGAGAGAAACTTTGTCCACTGGTTTGGTATCTTCTGGTCACCAGAGAAGATTTTTGTGAGCTGGGACCCCTCGACAGCACGTCGCCCTCGTTCAGCATTCTTGATGCTCTTGGATTTGTATCTGTCAGGAACAAAGTGAACAATTTTAGATTTGTTCATCTTTGCTTGCTTCACTAATATCTTGAGTACCTGGTCCGCAAATTGCCCAAATGTAGAAGGAGGTTTGATGCTGCGGATCAATGCCATAGCATCCCACACCCATGTAGATCCGAAAGGGATATCTTCTATCGTTGGTGATGGTTTTACAGATCCCTCTAGGAAATGAAGTAGTTTGGCTTTGTTTGTCTTCACTAGAGAGCCATCATGATTAGCTAAAGGAGCAGGCAATGGTCCCAAAGTATGCACAAGCATCTCTCCGATATCAATCTTTCGAACGGTGCCGACCACAATAAGACGTGCAAACAAGTTTCTATCAGCCTTGAGTGCAATCTCTCTTCCTTTCACTCTCGTGATTGAGGATTTTGCTGCATCTTTGAAGGTCTTCAGCTTATTTCTCTTCAGGGTATCATGGAAGCCGACATCTTGTTTGAGTAATCGGTCCTGACAAAATGACATGAGAGCCTCTTCCCCCTTCTCTTTTGCTCCCTTCAGGTCTTGAAGAACAGGTTTTGGTGCCATTTGTCCAGATGTTATGTTGTACAGCTGTTCTCTCTCAAGTGAGGCATCGAATGGGTTGACCATATTGAGTATCGTGTCCATGATGTTCTGGATGTCCCTTTCATCACGATCTATTCTTGATCTATCCAAGTCAATCCTTTGTCGAGTTGAGGTGTTACGACCAGCCATCTCTTGACATTCTCTTGTAATGGCAGCTCTTTCATGCTGTGAAAGAGTCCACCTGTACACAGCGCCCTTGTTGAGGGTAAATCCTGTCAATCCTCCCTTGGTCTTTGAGTCCCGATTTGCTGTTTGCTCTATCACTTGGTCACAAGCAACCTGGGCAAAACCATGATTCTGTTGTCGTTGAGCAACAAAATTACCAGCACGCAATGCATCATGAATATCTGGATGAGTTTCCTTCAGTGCACACATTTCAACCCAGTAGGCAGACAAGTATCTCGCATAGTTTACCCTATCATACGAGAAGTACCAGGGAAGCATTGAGCGCACACAGGACAGGTGTAGGTTCCAATCTCCTTGTCTTGTTGCTCTGATAAATTGTAGCAAATCACCAACCATTTCCATGTACGAGCACCAGAACTGAAAAGTCTCATTGTTCTTATTTTCGATGATGAAGTTATCATAGCTAGTGCTTAGATTCTGATATGCTTCTGAGTCAATGTAGTAATCAAAGTCCTGAGATGGAAATGCTGCTTGCATGTCCGAGACAATTTTCTGTGATTGAGCTTGATCTTCCTCTGAAAGGGTGTCAAAGAAGGCCTGCCAACACAAACGATGAAGAGCCTCACATACTAGCTTGTGAGCCCTTAGACTCCTATTGTAGTGATGACCACTTATGACTCCTCTTAAGGACCCAGCAGCAACAACTTCTGATTCAATGACAATGTCCTGGAATCCAGCATCCCCAAACCTCTTTCCTATGCAGGCGAGGTAAGCCATAGCAGTATGAAATTCCCCCATGCGAATGACAAGTCTGTCCCTGAACATGTCATTTCTCCATCTGATTTCTTGGGCCTTCGCATAAATTGCTTGGTCGAAGACTACTACGATCCTATTTAGCCCTAGCTGATCAGCGATGGCAACACTGCGACAAAGGATGGTGTATACAGTGTTCAAATTGGTTGGGCTGGCATCTATGACTGGTAGATATCCTATATTTGTCAGTGGTGGAATATCACATCTCTGAAGTAATGTGTTGAACCCACTCCAACCTGGCAATGCATGTACATTTGAAACCTTGGTGAAGTAGTATGCACTGTCTAATCTCCTTGAACTTTGTTGGATGTGGATATGGTCTTCTAAATCTACAGCGACATCTTGCTCAATGAAAGGACCTCTTCTTTGCCCTCCACTGTAGTAGTCAATGTTTGCTGCTGGTGGCTGTATAGACCTCTTACGTGTCCTTTCTACCGAGATACTTTCAGTGCGATGGGTAGTTGCTGGTGATGGCCTCTGCAAGATTATGCCATTGGTGTTATGGGTTGTCCCTTTACCGGAGAGGGTCTCCTCCCCAAAGTCATTATTATCCCACACTAGTGTGGTATGTACAGATGGCAAAATGTTGGGAGGAATGAAGTTCTCGCCTCGTTGAATTTGGAGTTGAGCAAGGGCAGTGTCATGCTCGAGGACTTGTGAGTTCGAGGAGCAGTGCCCTAATCCATTCAACAGCCCAATGAGCTGCGCCGAGCCAGTAAGGTGTCTCACCGACATAGCCAGAGCAGAGTGCTTTGGCATAATCGTCCTACCGCTGGAAGCAAGATTCATTACGTCCTGGCATATTGAGACAATCTTACTTTTCTTTGCATCCTTCACCTGCACTCTTGAATTATCTGGAGGGAGTTCATTAGTTGCACCTACAGTCCATGCCATAAAGTTATACAGCGCATCTGGTACTAATCCCAAAGCCATGTCTGCAGTTAAGTCTCTCGCAGTTGGTGGCCATGGAGGCTGAGGAATGGAATTAGAACCTCTTTCTATTGCTCTTCTGAGTGATTGTGCTGCATGATATAGTGGTCTCAAGTCACATGATGTTCTCACTTGAGGAGCTCCTTCAGTTTGATGAATGTCAGAGTCGGTATCCCCATCAGTCTCATCTGTACTGCTTATGTCGGATGAAAATGGATGAACAACGTCCTCTGCAACTTCATCCATAGATAAATCTTCAACAAAAACTAAATCACTAGCATTACTGTGAGAAGACCTAAGAAATTTGAGAAATGGAAAGGTCTTTTGAAGCCTTCGCTTTAAATTAAATGACTTGTAACTTGGGATTTCTTTTCCCTCTACCTCCTTCACACACTTCTTGAACAATCCAAGCAATTTCTGTAACCTTAACACTTCTCGACCCTTCACCACTCTTACATCAACAACTGATCTACAAAAATGATCATATGACTTCTTATACAAAATGTTCTCAGAGTTTTCTTCTTTGTCCTTCTTTGTGAGAAACCTTGTATAGTTCTGGTAACAGCTCAAGTGGTATCTCACTTCCAATGCGACAGGGTCCTTCCCACGAATCTGCATCAAAATCTTCTCATCGGTGCGCATTTCTGCAGCAAGTACAAGCTTACCTGCTGAAATTGTTTCACATTGAGTTAATTTCTCCTTCCTTCTTTTCCTTGTAAAATGATCACAAGTTGTTTTGTCTTTCCTACATATTATGCACTGCACTGGAAGAATATGCCGAACCCTTGGCTGAACACTATGCTGATCCGACTGCCTCGGTCGAAGTTGTCGGATCTTCGAAGGTGGCTTTATCCCTGAATCTTCTGCCTCCAGTGGAACATCGTTGGTTCTTGTGGCTGAAGCAAGTTTTTAAAGACAAAAAGAGAAACAGGAAAACAAAATTATTATTGGTCCAAGCTTTACATGTAATAATGAAATATCCCATATATACAATTTGAACATTTGAAAATGTTCAGTCCCTTTCCTAAAAAAGGAATACATAAATTTCATTGTGGACAAAATAATTTTTCAACATCTTAGTTAACAAGATTGAAAGCTGAATAACTGTTTCATATTGATGGCTTGTTAATGTGGTCAATGAATACCCAAGCTATTTTCTGAGTGGCATTACTATTAGCTGAATCAACGTGCTCATTATTTGTAATTTCTTCCCGATGATGTTTGATCGAACTTGAATATGTCATTAGACATTACACATTTACCATACGAGGTCAACTATAAACAGTGTCGACCTTACGACCATTATCATCTTGTCGTACATGTATGAAAAATGAGATTCAGCACTCGCAGTATTATAGAAGGCCTAGTGCATACAATGAATAAGTTGCCAGGAGTGACAACAGTCAAGATTTCATTTGTTTAAGTATTTTTCTTTTCCAACATCGATGATGAAATTTATTGTACAATAAATACTTTACTGTCAATTAATTCAGCTCAGTCAGATGTCACTCATGACCAAGTGTAACTTAAGTAAAGCTTAAGAGTGAATTTAAGTATTGTACAATGACGTTGGAAATTTTTTAGAATTAATATAGATCTAGAGGTGCTCGTGTTTTGTTCAAATAATTGAAGTAGACTAGTTCTCATGGTTCTAGACTAGTATTATTAAGTCTAAGAAGTAAGAGTAAGACCCTAACTTTGCTTTTTTGCGTGTGTGTGAAACTGAATTTATTATGATGATAGCCTACCTACATATATATAGTGCCTGTAGCTGTATATCTTATTAAGGGAATAACTAGTTTGTGGGTAAAATCAAGTGATTTCAAAGATAAGCGTTAAGCCCACGCAAGAGAACCCAGATCTTACACGAATACCAATGCATGGGACTGTAATGTGAAAAAACTGGGCAAACAATCCATGACTAAAACCTGATGAAACCTTCACTGTTTAATCATAACAATGCTTTTGAAATATTTAAAAAATGACAGTAATAAATTACCTTCATGTCCTGATCTTTCTTGCTTCTTTCTGACCCTCTCGATCTTAGTTTTGTCGGTAAATCGCATGTAACATGCGCGATGGTAACCCAAAGTTTGAGGAGGCACATTGAGAATATCTGGAGACAAAACAAGCTCCAAATCATACTTTTCAATGGCATGGGTAGCAATAACACCTTCTTTAATGTCAAATTCCTTCCACTGGTGAACACTGATAACAAATTTCCTCCAGCTTGTCTCAGAAAAAGAGATAATATTTGTCGAATCGCCATCAACAATGTGCATGCAACACTCCATGGTCATGGTGCACTAGCAGACTAGACATACAGACAGTGCATGCGAACCAAGACTCAGAATACATGGACTGTGATTGGTCAATTGCACTATGAGCTCTAATACCCCAGCTGTGATTGGCCAATTAAGGAACAGCTATGACATCATCATTGCAGAATGGCTGTCTGCTACATACAGTGATATTTGCAACTTTATATCAAAATTGTGAAAAAATGTACCAGCCAAAAGTTGGGAACATTTGACCATTGTTCTTAGATACATGTCCAATGATCATTTAGGACAAAATAAAGTACTTCCCAGGGGGAGACCACGGAACTGAAGAATTTTGAGGCTTGGCCCATGGTCTAAGAGGAATAGAAAAGTGAAATTGTCATTGAGTTATGTATTGTATAATGGAGCCGGAGTGTGATCACTAATACACATCTTGAGCGTGCAGAATTGGTGCTACACAAATACACAATGTTTAAAAAGGGGCCTGATGGATTTATGATAATCCAAGCTCTTCTAACCAAGGCATTAATTCTTTGCCAAATTTGCATTTTAGTTTAATGGAGGAATGGAAAAACAGAAATTGTCATTGATTAATGTGTAGCTAGCTGATTAACAGGGTAATCAATAGTATATCACCATGCATCTGGTAGATGGGTCAAAGCGCACTGCACCATTCTGCTAAATACGAACGCACACGATATTGCACTAAGGCTAAGTATTAAAAGGCATGTAACTTTTAAAAATATGTGCTTATTTCATCTAATATGTAACTACTCCAAATAAACAGTTCTAATCCATTTTCAATTTCTTTTCAAATTAGTTGATAAAGAGAGAAATCCTTGTCATGTTTTTAATATGGTATGCAGTTGAATCCTTTGAGGCGAGTTACCACAAATTTAGTTTACAGCGTTTGTGCTTGCTAAAAAGATATTAATGTCACTGAAAATAAACACTATGTAGATGGGCATACAGGTGGTGCTCTGTACACTGCTTCTGATTGTCTGACTGTATGAGTATTTGCCTTGAAAGGGCTCTTATTAGTGAAGAGATGATATCTTCATATGGTCAAGGTCTTAGCTTTTCTTGTTAATTCATCATTTTCTATTACCATGGAAACTGGAGGATTCAAGAACCAACGGTACTGCCAAGAAAGGGAGATAAAAACCGTTCTTGATAATTACAGGCGTAGAAAATAAATGATGGATGCAGAGCCTAAAAATTTGCCATGCATTATATCTACATTACATTTTGCATCTGTAATATATACCTGTATATGTAATGTATGTAAGGAATAGTACAGGTACATTTTGGATAGGCCAATATTAATGTAACACAATATTTTCAACCTTCACATATTTTTGACTTTCAAATAAGGTTATAGATCAATTAACTTATTTTAAATTATGGTAAGCAGTACTAGCAACAGATAATTTACAATGAATTGAATACATTAGTGGAGACCTATTGGACACCTAGTCCCATTCATCTTGTTTTGTGTCTAGTTGTGCGTAGGTAGGTGTAGCATGTTGATTGAGAGTGGGTAGCTTCTGACCCATTTGACTCAGCAGCATGGTGTAGCTTTGAATAATGTTTAATTCACATCTGTCAAATCCACTTTCACCTGTTCTCATCTGATGTGCAGCCTGACAAACTTTATCTTGTAAACAAGGAGCAAAATAGTGAATTGTGACGGAAGGAACATCAAATTTCTTTTAGTTGAGTTAGAAATGAGTAAAATAACCCAAATTGCATTGCATAGTTGGAAGAAAGAAGACAAATTGAACATGTACAGGAATATACATTCTGGTCTGTTGAGAGCTTAAAGGGCATTTCATCAATGTTCAAGAATATGAGTTAATACCCTTATTCCTTTATCTTGTAAACAGGGAGCAAAATAGGGAAATGTGAATAAAGTGTGAAGGTTGAAGGAAACCCAAATTTCTTTTAGTCGGGTTAGAAATGAGTAAAAGAACGCAAATTGCATATCAGAGTTGGAGGAAAGCAGAAATATAGAATATACCTTGAATATACCTTGAAGTCCACACCTCGCCATCGTGGTGATAAAGATCCCGTAGATAGTGTGGTGTGGCAGGGTTAAGGGGGTCCCATGGGACCCATTTAAAAACCCAGGTTGGATAGTTGTTGTTTGAAGCTTAGGAGTGTGGGAGCATCAATGGCAGTTTGTGGCAGCTTGTTCCAATTGCTTACAACTCTCTGGCTATAGAAATTTTTCCTGATGTCAAGGCGGCTTCTTGTTTTGGCTAGCTTCATGGAATGGCCTCTTGTTCTTTCATAGTTAGCAAACTGAAAATAATTCTCGGGGTTGGATTTGTCGATTTGCGTCATTATCCTGTAGGTTTGCAGTAGGTCTCCTCTCTCTCTTCTTTTCTCCAAAGTAGTTAGTTTCAGTTTTGCTAGTCTCTCTTCATATGGTAGATGTTGAATACTTGGGATGAGTTTTGTGGCTCTTGCTTGAACTTTTTCCAACTTCTTTTTGTCTTTTTCCAGGTAAGGACACCAGGCCTGAATGGCGTAATCTAGGTGGGGTCTGACGAGTGACTTGTATAGTTTCAAGATCACTTCCTTACTTCTGAATGTAAAGTTGCGTTTTATCATTCCTAGTGTCCTGTTTCCTTTATTTGCTGCTGCAGCACACTGGGAGGCAACTTTCAGGGACTTGTGTACTAGAACCCCTAGATCTTTTTCTTCTGTACTTTCTTTCAGCTGGGAGTTGCCCATCGTGTATGTGTAGTGTGGGTTGTGGGTTCCAAAATGCATCACTCCACATTTGTCTGCATTGTACCTCATCTGCCATGTATTTGCCCATCTGTGAAGGTGGTTGATGGAGTTTTGCATGTCTGTTCTATCATTGTCTATTTGCACTGGATGGATTAGCTTGGTGTCATCAGCAAATTTGCTAACTGTTGATTTGTCGGTTAGCCCAATTTCGAGGTCATTCATGTATATCAAGAAGCACAGTGGTCCCAGGACTGATCCTTGTACTACAGAGCTGGTAACAGGTCTCCAGCTAGATTTGGCTCCCTGGGTAACGACTTTCTGCTTGCGACTGTTGAGCCAGGCTGTTATCCACTGTAATATGTTACCATCTATTCCATGGGCCTTGATCTTTGTTACTAGTCTCTTGTGTGGGACGGTATCGAAGGCCTTTGCTAGGTCAAGGTATACTACATCTACTGGTGTACCATTGTCTACTGATTTGGTGATGATTTCTAGGTATTCTAGCAAGTTGGTAGTTGTAGATTTCCCTTTCCTAAAACCATGCTGGGTATCCTGTATCAGACCATATTTATTCAGGTGGTTAGTTATTTTGTCTTTGATAATGCTCTCTAGTACTTTACAGCTGACTGATGTTAAGCTGATCGGTCGGTAGTTCTCCGGTTTAGATCTTGCCCCTTTCTTGAATATTGGAGTTATATGGGCTGATCTCCATTCCTCTGGTACATGTCCTTCCTTTAATGATTTTCCAAACAAAATGGTGTATGGAACACTCAGTTCTTCAGCCAGGGGTCTTAGAAAAGCCGGTGGTATATCGTCTGGACCCGCTGCTTTGGATGGGTCGAGGTGTTCAAGCTTCTTTTTCACACAATCTTCAGTGATTTCTATCTCAGCAAGGATCTCTTCATTAGTTCCTATGAAGACATTCTGGGGATTGGGAACATTTAGGTCCTCTTCAGTGAAGACTGCTGCAAAGTATTCGTTTAAGATATTTGCCGTTTGTTGGCCTGATGGGACTGACTCTCCATTTTCTCTTTTAAGAGGTCCTACAGTGTCTCTGACCTTTTGTTTTGATCGAACATATGCATAGAAGCTCTTCGAATCTTCTTTAATGTTTTGAGCAAGTTTCTTCTCGAAGTCACGTTTTGCTGTCTTTATTTCATGTTTGGCGTCCCTCTGGCATTTCTTGTAGTACTCTAAGTTCTTGGTTGTCTTATCTGATTTGTACCTTTTCCAAGCTCGATGCTTTCGACGGATGCTTTTCTGTGTTCTTTTTGTGAGCCAGATAGCTTTCTTCTTTCTAGATTGCCTTTTTAATGGTACATGATCATGCATTAACTGCTTCAACTTTCTTTCAATTGTGTTCCATATTTGATCAGTCGTCTGGTTTTCAAGTTCCTTTATCCAATCTATTTCTTTTAGTTCTGTTCTGATTTGATCAAAGTCAGCATTTTTGTAGTCTCTCTTAGGTTGAGGTACACATGGTTGGACATAGTAGTTGGTTTCCCATCTTAACATGTTATGATCACTGGTTCCAAGATGTGCGAGGACCTCCACTTCATCGATCATGTCAGGATTTGATGTGATGACAAGATCCAGAATTGAATCAAGCCTTGTAGGTTGAGTCACATGCTGACACCATAGATTGTCCTGTATAACTTCTAGAAATGCACCTGATTTGCTTGAAGCAGCTTGCATGTTTTCCCAATCAATGTCTCTGTAGTTGAAGTCGCCGACAATCATTATATCTTTATGTTCATCATTTAATTGCATCAAAACTCGATTCAGACAGTCATTTTGGTCGTTTGAATTGTTTGGGCTCCTATACACTATGCCCAAAAGTAAGTCAAGGGCTGCATCCTTACTTGAGATATCGCACCATAGTGCTTCGTCATATTCAGCTAGTGTTTGGCTCTCTCTCGGTTGCACTTCAATGCCATCTCTTGCATATAAAATTATTCCTCCATGGGCTCCTCTTTGTCTATCTAGTCTTGTGATTTGGTATCCTGGCATTTGAATTTCTGCATTTGTGGTCTTGTCATTCAACCAGGTTTCTACTATACTGACCAGATCTGGTTTTTCTGCTTCAATTACGGCAGACAGTTCATTTACTTTGTTCGTGATGCTTTGTGCGTTGGTAAAGATGCACATCAACTTTTTCCTGGCATTTGTGGATTTGGCGTGAGTATCCTTTAATTTTCCTTGTTTCACTTGATCCTTAAGGTCATCATGGGTACTTGTTGTGCCTCCATCATTTCTTTCTGTTAGAGGTCCTTGTTCATCTATGTAGTTTTTCACTTTCCCTTTTCTTTTGTTTGAGTTGCATTTCTTTAGGCCTGCATTTCGTCTTAATTGTTCTTTTTGCTTAGTATTGAAAACATTTGATGAGACCTCTTTGTGGTGGCTTTCCTCCAAAGTGGTTGGTTCCTCTAGACTACATCTTAATTCTGATCTCTTAGTACTCAGTTTATACACATTTATACCTGCTTCTTTGCTACCATGTGTCTCTTGTGCTGTTATATCAGAATAATTTGGATGATCCTCTTCGTGGTGGCTTTCCATCAAAGTTCTTGGTTCTTCCAAATGTGTGTAGTGCTTTAAGGGTGCTCTATGTACATTTGTGCATGTGATGGTTTGCTTCGTTACGGTCCTTGGTCTGTGGGAGGCTTCACCTTTGTGATAACCCCCCTCACTATCTTTAAGTTTTTTGCACCTTTCTCCTGTGACTGTGATGTTGCTGCAGAAGGTGTTGTGGCCGGTGCTGGTGGTGCTAGTGGTGCTTGTGTAGGTGCCCTTGTGACTTGATGAATTCTGTTTTCTATCCAGACTCTTCGCCTGGGTGGCGAAAAGACTGTTTCGTCTTGATCACTCCATTTCGAATGACCAAGTCTTTCTCTCCATTCTCCAATCGATACTTCAACTCTTCACGTAGTTTCCTGTACTCTTCCCTTTCTGCCTTAGTACGATCTCTAGATATCTGTACCGATCTCTCCTGATATTCTATAAGATTCAAGCCTCCATCTCTAAACGTCTTTAATACCTCATCTCTGATGGACTGGTTGTTCAAAACTGCTTTCAATGGTCTTGGTCTTTCGCCGTCTTTCTTTCCAAGTCGATACAATGCCTTGATCTCTATCTTATCATTGGTAAGCTTACTTCCGATCATATCTCGAAACCTTTTCTCATCATCTGCCTTTCGTGTGCCAGATTCGATACTGGTAGACTCCGGAATTCCAAAGAGTATAAGGTTGCCCTTTCTCTTTTCCTTTTCTTCCATTTCATCAAATTTCTCTTTCACCAGTTTGTTTAGCTCAATGTGAACAGCTTCAGGCTGAAAAGAATTGGCTGCACCTTCTGCATTGATCATACCATTCTTCACCTCCTCCAACTTTGTTGTCATTTGATGGAAGGTGTCTACACTTTCTTCTCTGTAATCCTGCATCACCCTTTTCATGTCTTCTACCTCCTTCTGTAAATTTGCTTGCTGGGTCTGGAGCTGTGCCATTGCATTTAGCATACTCCGTGCTGTTCCGTTGCAGATGTGACAATACCAGTGGACAGATTCTGGTTCCTCATTGACTATATCATATAATTTGCTTGAGACATTTTGACATGTGCAGTGGAACCAGAAATTACACAACTCACATTCAATGGCATAATCATCAGACAAAATGATCAGTCTACATGAGCCACAGCATTTATCATCTTTTGATTTGGATGCGCTTGTCGACTGCTTTTCATCTAAGTTCACACTTCCTCTAGTTTGTCTGATTCTAGTAGTAGTAGAAGGTGGTTTGTTTCCTTTGCGGGTAGCCATCTCACGTTGAATACAGTTATGTACAGACAAAATTCAAAGTTCACTCAGTCCAGTTAAGTAATGTTGTACAGATACAAGACCTGGCCTATTCACTCAATTTCAAGGTCAAAGCAATTAGGGCTGAAAGAGCACTCAAAATCTCAAAAACATCCAACAGCATGAATCATGATTTTGATTGGAACAAAGATAGTAGCAACACTTATCACTCCTGATGATATTGATGTTATCTTGTAGTAAGGTCCAGTCCACAATCGTGTTTGTTGAGAACACCAAACTAAAAAAGTAGTGAAGTTACTGCTCGCATAGAAATGCACAAGTGGGACTGAAATGGTATTCACTCCAGTGGCATGCCTGCATATCAAAATGTATTCTCCAAGAAAACTCTCCAAAATACATAGAATGAACAAAATAATTGCCCATATAGTTGCATCTGGTGTCAATAATGAAGAATAAAGCAAATTTGTATCCAAAAAGCCAAGTTCTAGTGGTGGATTACATGGATTTTGATCCAGCTTTCAGCACACACATCCTCTCTCATTATAGCAATCTATCCAGCCTCCTACCTCCCTCCTGTCACTGATGCATAGAACATGTACAGGAATGTACATTTTGGTCTGTTGAGAGCCAGAAGGGCATGTAGTCTACCGGTATGTTGAAGAATATGAGTTATTAATACTCTTATTCCTCTTAGCAGATGAGTGACATTGTTTAGGAGTGAGCGTTGAATACATTATACATGTATAAAGTTAACATCAATCTGAATAAATATGTGTTTGAATTATTCTCTGGGACTGCTCATTCTATAAAACTATTTAAAAAAGCTGAATTCCCAGATAGAATCTGTTGTTGGTCTACTGTTGGTCTGTTGCTGGTATAACTTTAAGTAAACTTAAGTTTGATAACCATGAGTACATCTGTATGTTTTGTAACTACAAGATATAACCTGGACGTTTACAACCATAACCTTAACTTGAGGTCTATGGGCTGTCATGTGAACCTGAATATTCACTCTCAATCTACATACAGTTGACCTTTAACTCATTCAACACCTCTCCTGATCATACGACCATAATGAATTAATGTAACAAAGACCGATGCTATACAGCATGTCTGGCGATAATGAGCCCCCTTTGGTATTCCCGCCCCCTTACCCGAGCGATAATGAGCCCCCTTGGTATTCCCACCCCCTTACCCGAGTGATAATGAGCCCCCTTGGTATTCCCACCCCCTTACCCGATCTCCATTATCATCTTGATGCTATCAAGTACAGTCTTATAAGTGGATCACAGAGAGACAGTGTTGGTAATTCCTACACAATAATTAAGTCAAGGGTAGTAGTTGGTGTGGAATTTTATCCTGATGAATAAGTGGAGTCAGTAGTCTAACCTAGTTCTAGCTTATGAATGTTCAGATTTGCCTTCATTTGGAATGCATGTTAAATGATCATGACACTTTCTAGTTTTGGTTTAAATATACTATGTCCCTTTTGCAGCCAACATCAAATTCTGTAGAACTTTGCAGGAAGTATGAATATGTCATGTATGTCCTATCTGTGAAATTTAAACGTTAGCAGTGTCATCATATTCAAATTATGCAAGGAAACCCGTTTACTTGCTAGACTTCACTGTCAGACACTATTGAGTGACTGACTGGCTTTTTTTTTTCTTTTTTGGTAATAACATACATGAAAAGAGTTGTAAAGGGTACATGAGCATTTGTCTACATCAATAACCCACTTCTTGTGATGGCCAAGATTAAACTGATTGAATCTTTGCGCAGCATACAACGTATGACCATTCGGTACAATTGTCTGAAAATCAAGACTATTACTTTTGGGCTCTATAGCCCTAAAGTCGATTTGACAACTATTAGTCATTATTTTCCCACTTGAAGACATTTTCAAGCCCCACCTTTTTTAGGGAAGTTCTAAATAAGTATTATCTTTCAAATGCCATTGGAATTTAACCTTTTCATTTTTTTGACCTGCAAATGGGACATAGTACATTTAACCTTATGGTTGATGTATTAAGTCTATGGGAATGAAAGAATTCAGTCAGTAGGTTAAAGTTAGTTTCTATTACTCTGACATAGTTGTGAAAGTAGTGATATTGTTGAAAAGTTTATCTTTGAATAAGGAAAATTCCGGACAGTTTATATAGGTGAAATGAACATTGTGTAGAGAGAGAAAATAAATGTTGATTTTCAATCAGACTCGTTGTATAGTAATAGTAATAGTCTGTTAAAGGTAAAGACCAGTTATGGTCATGCCATTGCATTGTGAAAGAAACGTTGTGGATTAGATCAGAAAAGGTTGATCATCTATTAGCATATAAGTATTGGTGTGTACTGCAAGGTTCTGGAATCATCAAAAGGATAAGAAATTTGGCCCAGTCTTCGTAAAGTTACAAGCACTGTACACAGAAAGATGTATATGAGACTATACACACATATGCGCGACATGTGCGTTTATCTCTCACAGACCATGTAGATAAACTAATTTACCAAATATATCAATTAGTTGGCGGTTTCCAGGCAAAATTGTTATCATCATGTATTAGTCAAAACATATTCTTTCACATGGTTGGTAATAAGAGCTTCCATTTCATTTTTTGAAATTGAGGCATTTCCAATACTGGTCTTTACCTTTAATAATAGTGATTTTTAAAATCTAAGACCCTATATTAGTTGGTTTTATTATTATAGTAGTCGGAGTTGGTTTTACCTTTTTGTGTTCTAACGGTAAAGCAACATTTGTTGCAGTTTCAGTTGCATTTCGTTTCATCTGTTAATTTCCTTTGAATAGTATTATATCATATGCAGTCATTTGTACTGGTAGGCATTTTGATTTTTCTTTTTGTCGCATTTTGATTTTTCCTTGATTCATATTTTGCTTTTTCCTACATCTCATTTTGCCTTTTCCTTGATCGCATTTTGCTTTTTGCTTGATCGCTTTTGGATTTTTCTTGGTTGTATTGACTTTTCCTTGGTTTAAGAAAAATTAGGTCTATTACCGGTCGGTCTATTATTGTGGTCTCCTTGATAAGTGCAGTCAAGCGTCTGGTGTTTTTACGTCTTTAACTAATCTCTTTGTAAAGTCTTGTTTTGTTCAGTTGTCTGTCTGTCCTAACCAGCATCAACACAGAGTCCATTTGAGGAATGTTAAACCAATACACTTTATATTTTATCTTTGATGTGATACAGCTAAAGGATTTCATGTACTTGTTGTGAACAGAGGGATATATGATTGATATGGAACTAGATCTTCATATCGTAAGTGAAGAATCCTGTCAGCATGGGTGAATGGACTTCTGATAATATGATCAGTAAAATGAACAAATGGCAGAATAGACTTGATTCAACAGATCTTGAACACTCGGATGACATACACCAAATAGAGCAAAAGCAATACAGCTTTGAAGGAACAACCAATGTGTGGCAGAAGAGCAAACAGTCTGATCCGTCTCATAGTTACGATCCTTTTCGCGAAGATGAGCCGAGAGTTTGTGCTCTAGAGACATTGCATTTGAACAGCACAATGAGGAAGCATTTGTGTAAGGGACAGAGCTTTGATATGAGTGAGATTGGGTTCAATGTAGATGTTCCTTATGACTATACACACAGTCTTCAGCCAGAGAGTGATATTGAAGAGTACATTGTAATAGATGATGTCCATGGTGATTCTTATGATCCAGTAAAAGCGGATGAATATTTATTGTGCCAAGATTGCTCTGGTGATGTCTCCGATGCTGTACTGACAGTGATGGGGAAAGACAAGAGGAAATGGAGGTTCATGAGAGCAAAGCAGCAGAGAACAGGTCCACGTCAACCCATCCGTGTTGATAGCATGGAAGACACTTTGAACAAGCTCAAAAAGTCAGATAAACCTCTCGTTGGTAAGCCCAAGACACTGTTGATACCAAAGTCAAATACCACATCAGACATTGGGACAAGGGATGGAGATAAGACTCCTTCTGGTGCCTTTCGACCCATCAAGTCTGAACCAGCGTTAGGCACACAGATGGACAACGTTTCCAAAGAAACATCCACTCAGTGCAATGTCAGAAAGACAAACGCACAAGGAATAGAAGGTGGCATGCTATACAGGCAGAAGAGAACAATGTCGATGCCTGAGGCACCCACCAAAGGCAAGCTGAAGAAACTGCAAAGCCAGATATCATCTGTATTCAAGAAGCGAGAGAGCTACCCTCATGACGAAGCTTACACCAGATGCTCCAGGAAGCGATACGTTTCCTCATCATCCTCGTCATCTTCAGAGACCTCCCCCATCATTGCTTCCTACCTCTCATCTCCAGAGGTGTTTCAGGATGAACCTTTCTGTGAAATAGACATTGATGTGGAAGAGATAGAGAAGGAAGCAAGTGAATTTGAGAATATTGTGGAACCGAGTTGGGTATCTCAATCAAGCATTTTGTTGTCCCACAGTCTGGTACATCAAAACAGTCAAGAGGAATGTACTGAAACAGAAGAGTGGGTTGTTTCAAAGTCCGGAGAGTATATGTACTTGTTCAAAGAACCCAATGCTCACAGTGAAGGGGATGGATTTTCTAGCAGGAATCAGGACTTGCCAGCAGTCAATGCTGACGTAGTGCCTGAGAGTCATGCTGCCATCAGTGTTGAAAAGGGTACAGGTTTTGCTAGCAGTTGCGGCAGTGAAGGAGGTGTGAGTGGAAGCAGTGCTCAGCTGCCGATCTCCCGGCATTGTACTTCTTCGCTCACTTTAGGGACCATGAATAATGAATTCCAATTAACAGACGGAAAATTTGGTGCTGTAAGCCCAGACACCATCAGCCCCGGGGTAGTAGTTCAAGCTCATGAGGTCGCTGAATTGTGCATCCCCAATGACAATGGCATCAATCACAACAATAGGTCCACATCAGAGAGCCCTGAGCAAGGGTATAGTACTGCTCCAGAGACAGACAATATGCCTGAATGTCAAGAGTCAATGGCCTATGATAGCGATGAGAATGACAATAGTAATAGCAGTTCTTATTCTTCATGCGATGAAACCGTGAATGACAAATTTACCAGGGACCTAGCATCTGCAGGTGTATTCAGCAATGACTCTGAGCATGTGATCATCACTGCATCGTTGCCGGTTGGTCCTAACTTGATCCCTCAGGCCGATCCTATACCTATGTTGATGGATGCTCCTCCCCCGAGGGATACCGCCCTTCTGGATGGAGACGGGGAGGATGAGGATAAACCAGGAGGAGCAGCGGAAGATCAAGGAGAGGAGCCGGAGGATGGGGAGGTCAACTACAGTCAACATGTTGGTGCATCCCTCGTCAACAACACCATGGCCATCATGCTTCTCATAGACCACAAGTTGTAAGTAGATGATGCAACAAATATTGAGTGCTGTGGTAGAGTGTCTTGACGTATAATGCGTAAGTTCTAACCTGAAGTGCTGTGCCTTTGATTTCTATACCAAATATGTTACTTATTTATAACAGAATATGCTGATTTTTACAATTTTGTCCGTTCAAATGTTGTGTATATAGTAGCTATTGAACAACAGTAGCATATATTTTGATGTGAATATGATTGTTATTCAGCACGCAATATCTTATGCTCATCAACAAACATTGCATCTAGGTGCCTTTTTACCCCTTTACCCTCACTTGTATTTTTTTGCAGGTTGAAGTACTGCTTGACAAGAGTACTGTATTCAAAGAGCATGCACTATTAATCATGTAGTCACAAAAAAAATATTGATTTATTGCATATAGCTCTTTCAAGCATGAACATATTTTATTTACTCATTGCATTGCATTGCCAGATTCATCATAATACCAAAGAAGGCAACAAAATAACATGTTTTTGTAGATGGTTTAATAAGCAAACGTGGCACAGGAATTTCAACTCCATGCAAGAAGTAGTATGACATAACGTCTGTTGGGAGCTTAATAGTACACAAGTTAGATTCCTTCTGGCTGTGAAGTCTATGCCCATGTTCACAAAAAGATGTTTTTGTTTGTAATTGTACCCGTGGGATAATCTTTCTCTTTATGTGCTTGGTTCATTAATATCTAATAAAAGGGCAAAGTTTTATATAAATACGTTAATGTTGGTTGCTATGCAGACCATTGGATGTTGTATAAGCCTAGGACAGAAAATTCAAATTCTGTTCATGACCAAGTATGACATATATGTGAACTCTGAGACCAGAATTCACTCAGATTTGTTATGTAAACCCATGGTTTGTACCTCTGGAAGTATAAGTGTAGTAATTCACTATTTATGTAAAGGGCATTTAGTGCTTTTATACAATCATTTGTTTTGCAGTGGAGATTTAACCCATATATTAGATCGTGCATAATCATCTGTTTATTTTCCCCAGCACATGTTGTTATTGTCTTCTAAATTCAAATGATTATAGTGTATCAGATTACCTTTTATATCTGTAGTAACTTCAGTGTATCTATTTATAATAGTTTGATCTTAATAACAGTTAAACATTGAGTCTTGTGGAAGCAAATAAAAACTATTTGTTTCAAGTAATATACATAGATGAGGAAATTATTTGAATTCAATTATAATTAAAGGTTTATTGTTTGGCCATTTATCAATTCTTAATTTGTAGCACTTTCTTTAATGTAATTGCCATAGAGTTTTGTATCGAAACCAATCATAACACATTCATATTTGATATACATATCAAAGATTTGAGAGCTTCACACATTGTAAATGCTTTATAATGAATCATAATCTATAATAATGATCCATTTATCATGATTATTCCAAACTACTTACAGGATATCTTGGGACGGTAGGCCAGTAGCTTATTTTTAGTTTAATAGAAGAAAAAGCATAACTATCAAGACTTGTTCCATTGATATGCATTTGATTTCATGTGAAAATATTTGATATTATTGACAAGTGTATGTATCACACTTTCTCTCTTTCATCAATTAGAAACACAGAGGTAGAAGGAAAAAGGTTAAAGGGAAAGTAATGAGGGTTTTAGCCCTAGAAAACTCCAATAAAAGCTCTGGAAAAATGAGGGGGAAGAAGTCTATAGTTTAAAAGAAAGAAAAAGAAATAAATCGAAAGGCTACCAATATTGCCACAAGTTAATCTCACATATTGAATTCAAACAGACTGTTAAACAAAATAAATTTTCACTCTGATAGTTACCTGCACATTTATTCGTATTTAATATGGAGCAGAACACATTTTGGGCACAGGTTATATTACCTTCTCTACATGCCATCCAGTTGGATAAAGTTATTGAATTTCTACATGTATTGGAAATTTAGCTACACAAACAAGAGTTGCATGTATAAGTGAATCAATTTTGTGTACAGATGGGAGAGTTGATGAAGGGAAAAAACCCCAAAGAATCAATATTCCACAGACAGCCTGGATGGCGTTTAAAGGGAATGTCGACATTTTTATGATTGAAACGTTTTTGCCATAAATCTGATTGACTTCAAGTAACACTAACACTAAGCAACACAGATGAAAATATATCAGAAAATATATTGAATGATTGGACAATGTTTTAGAAATACAGGGGTTCATTGAAGTATTTAGTTCTTAAATTTGTCTAATTTGTCTGTTTGAAAGATTTGTCAACGAAAGTGACAGAATTCAAAATCTGCAAGAAAAGTAAAATATTACAACGTACCAAAACATTTCAAAATGCAATGTATGTAGCTACTAATATTGATTTTCTATAGCTAACATTAAAAAAAAGCATTTTCCTAACTTCATTTTTATTTCATTTGCAAATCCATTTGAATCAATACTACCTGCATGAGCTTCTAAGAAAGATCACATTACTTTTTGATTATCAATCAGTATCAGTATTATTAAACAAGGAATGATTGCCCATTACAAAAGCTGGTACCAGTAAGAATACATCTTAGAAATGCCTTGTTGAATTTATAGGTTGAAGGGTGTATATAATATTTAGTTTCACACCAATTCGTTGAATGTAACTGCCCATTATATAAACGATAAATGATTTTTGCAGGTTCTATGTGATGCAATACAATTCTTAGGTATAAAACCTCTTCAAAAGAAAGAATTTATTTCCAATTTTTAGGAAATGCTACTAAATAAGAAGTTAATTTATTACAAATTGACAATTGTAAATGCTATGAGAAAAAGGCAAAATTTGTTCCCCACTCTTATGTCATGATATATAGAAATAAGAAATTACTAATTATTAGATAATGCTAAATAAAGAAGTAAAATCAAAACTGAAAAAAAAGTCATAAAAATGATGGAGAGATAAGTGTGTTGAGACTCTTGACATCCAGATTATGATGATCTTACATGTTATGCAGGTAGTGCGAATAACTGTAGAGAAATTATTGTTTGATCAGTTTTATGAATGTAGAATAGAGCCTTTAAGATTTATTTCTAAAATTTAGTCTGTGGCATAAAGGAAAAAATATATGTATGATGTGAAAATAAATCAATAAATCAATAAATCAATAAATCAATAAATCAATCATTAAAGAATTAATAACAAATAAATTAATAGATGAATGAATAATACAAGCAAACAAACAAATACACAATAAAATAAATGGAACAATGCTAATTCATGACTTTAAGGTCTCAAATGAAAATAAAACTGATAAGTGGTAAGCTCTCTCTCTCTCTCTCTCTCTCTCTCGATCAATCAATCAATTTTACAAACCAGTAGGCTTATATACTTGTATGGTTTCATATTATTTATGTAATATAAAGATATTGAGAAGAAGCCACACAAATTGGCCAGACAATATTTGACATTAAAAGTCTTGTTCACATTTCCATATCTTATAACACTGACCTCAGTCAATATGCGCAAGCCCTCTGTTGCGCAGCTGTCATTCATTTACATACAGGAATGAGGCAGGTTTTTAGCGGCAGTTTACTGCACATTACTGAACAAGCCCTTACTGATATATCATATAGGATAAATGCTGTCATACTGTTTGATTAAGCATTGTATCAGTAGACTAATAGCACATATTGGACATGGAGATAAAGTTGTGAAAAAGTATTTTGCTTCGTATTTTGACCGTATCTGAGGATGGACGAATCTGAGGATGGACGACGCATTGCCATGGCGATACCAAAATCTAACCGAAATATGAGGGGTCTGTTTTTAGAATATAAGTGAGTATTGGATGAATGGGTGTGATCTGTTGTTTTAATAAGGAGAGTAATGGGGAATGTTGAGATGTAATTCATAGCTCAACAGATGTGTATGTTGACATTAGAAAAGCAAGTCCATTCTATTAAGAACCTTTTAGAATTCGCTATTATTTATGAGGCCAAAGGCATCATGCCTAGGCTCATTGAAAAATCAAAAACTTGGTTTGGGTTGCTTTGATTGGTCATTAGTAATTTGACTTACAAAGATTGGATTATAAATTCACTTTATATCTACCTAGTGATATTCAGCTAGGATTTTGGCAGATTTGTCTAGTGGATTGTACCCCTCTAATTCCACCATTGCTACATCACCAACTTGTTTTGGAAAATTGTAACAAATTCTATGAATGTGTAAATATTTTAACATCCCACTATATTCATGTTTCTAAAAACAGTCAGTAATGCCTTCCATCGAAAATGTAACGATGCCCTCTGTTGTTAAATTGTATAAAGTTGTTTTCCACCAGCTCGATGATGGGTAGGTGTTTGTAGGCTGTGAGTGTTCAGAAGGGTATAGCAGAGAGTGGGAGAGAGAGAGAGAGAGAGCAGTTTGGAGCAGGGAGGGAGAGAGAGAGAGAGAAAGATAGGAAGAGCGAAGAGAGAGAGAGAGAGAGAGAGAGAGAAGAGAAAGATGTGAAGAGTAAGAAGAAGAAGAAGAAGAAGAAGAAGAAGAAGAAGAAGAAGAAGAAGAAGAAGAAGAAGAAGAAGAAGAAGAAGAAGAAGAAGAAGAAGAAGAAGAAGAAGAAGAAGAAGAAGAAGAAGAAGAAGAAGAAGAAGAAGAAGAAGAAGAAGAAGAAGAAGAAGAAGAAGAAGAAGAAGAAGAAGAAGAAGAAGAAGAAGAAGAAGAAGAAGAAGAGAGAGAAAGAGAGAGAGAGAGAGAGATAGAGAAGGTGAGTAAGGGTAGGGGATAGAGAGTAGGAAGGGTGGAAAGAAAGGGTTCATGTTCAAGAAGATAATAGAGGATGGAAGAAGGAAAGAGAAAGGGAGAGGTGAGGATAGGATCTGATAAGAGAGGGAGGGAGAGAGAGAGAGCAAGAGATAAATAAAGAGAGTGGATGGCATGAGGGGGGACAGATGAGGGGGAAAGGAGAGGGAGACAGGGAAAAAGTAAAATTGTGGTGTTGGTCATAAAGATGGAGTGGATAATAATTATAGGGGATAGGGAACAATGA